CGCAATTGACAATAGTTTCAAAACTTGTGCTGTGACAATAAATGGGATTAGACTCACCTAGTACTAGACCTTGGTGCTAAGGTTTCCATCTTGAATGAGGAATTGTACAAACAACACTTCAAAGCTATACCACTGCTACCAACTAGACAAATGTTAACCAGCTACAATGGAGGTAACATTCCGGTTATTGGTGTAGTACGTCTTCCAGTGCAGTATGATGAACAGACTGTGCAGAACTTTAAGTTTTATGTCACAAAAAATGGTAGTAATCTCATGGGAATTGATTTATTCAACCAACTTGGATTTCAGATAAGTAGACATGGTACAATTGTCAACTCAGTGGATGCTGTTGACAACTTTCCTGAATTATTTTCTGGATTTGGGAAAATTACTACTTTTGCGCACCGACCAGGTGTTGATCCAAGCATTTCCCCAGTGTCACAGAAACTTCGACGATTACCGCTAACAGTACGCGAGGAAGTTTCAACGGAATTGAGTCGTCTTGAGAATTTGGACATTATTGAACGCATTGATAATTCTCCGTGGATTTCAAATTTAGTTGTTGCACGCAGAAAGACCGGCGATATTAGACTTTGTGTAGACTTGCGAGATGTAAACAAAGCAATTATACCTGATAAGTATCCCCTACCTGACCTTGGTGAACTCACCTCCGAATTTCACCAAGCAGAACATGACCAGCGTCTTAACACAGTGCTAAACAAACTGAGAAAGTACAATTTAACACTCAATAGAGATAAGTGTGAGTTTTCGAAACATGAGATTGATTTTGTTGGCTACAGAGTATCCGCGTCTGGTGTGTTACCATTACAGTCCAATACGAAAGCAATTATGGATCTCCCCGAGCCTGCCAATGTCAAGGAATTGCAATCATTTTTTGGTACGACAAACTTCTATTTAAAGTTTGTACCATATTATGCAGACATAGCTGAACCCCTACGTAAACTGTTACGAAAAGATGAGCCATGGGAGTGGACTAAGGATCAGCAGTGCGCATTCGACAAACTCAAGAACCAGATTTCGTCACCACCGGTTCTCGCACACTTCAACCCTGATGCTAAAACATATGTTACTACAGATGCTTCGAGATATGCAATCGGAGCAGTTTTGTCACAAATAGTTAATGATGAAGAGAAGCCAGTTGCATTCACTTCTCGGACATTGTCTCCAACCGAGCGTAAATACTCAACAAGCGAACGTGAAGCTTTAGCGTGTGTGTATGCTTCAGAACATTGGCATATTGTACTCTACGGTAGGAAATACACACTACGCACTGACCATGAAGCGCTCAAATCAATTCTGTCAACAGTAGGCTCCGGTCATAAACCACTACGTATCTATAGATGGACTGATCGTCTTTTGCAGTACAACTTTGATGTCGAGCACATGCAAGGTAGTAAGAACTTTGTCGCAGATATGCTAAGTCGTCTTGTACGCACTACGGACAACACAGAAACTGAAAACGACATTCTCGAAATTAACTTAGATGGGTTAGTCACAGCTAGCGAACTCCAAACACAGTCTCGTGATGATCCGCTGCTTCAACGAGTTGCCACATATGTTCAAAATTGTTGGCCAAAAAGTGTGCCACCAAATCTCAAGGTATTCGCTAACCTCCGCGATGAGCTTACAGTATGGAATGAATACTCTATTGCCCGTAGTTCACGTGCAGTTATTCCTGAAGCCCTGCAGGAACGAGTCCTACGAATGGCCCATGACGGACATCCAGGTATAGTTCGTATGAAACAGCGATGTCGTGAAACAGTATGGTGGCCAGGTATGGACTCTCAGATCGAAGATTACGTCCGCAATTGTGAGCCTTGCGCTATCAGTGGCAAGTCAGCTAGACCAAAACAACCACCACTTCAACCAACGCCATGGCCGACAGAACCATGGAACTCTATACAAATGGACATATTTGGTGAGATAGCCATAGCACCACATAGTCAACGTTTCTTAGTTGTAGTACACGACCTACATTCCAAATGGCCTGAAGTGGCAACAACAGGAACGGTCACATCTACAGCAGTTATTAAGATTCTTGAAGAACTTTTCACTCGATGGGGATTTCCAGAAGTGATCACTACTGACAACGGACCTCAGTTTACCTCAGACGAGTTTGAAAATTATCTACAATCACATGGTATCAAACATAATCTAACATCATTATATAACCCCCAAAGCAACGGTGGGGTGGAACGATTCAATAAATGCCTGAAAGAGGGTTTGAAAACGAATTTGTCGGAGGGAAAGACATTCGCAGATTCAGTTCGTACAATACTACAGAACTATAGAGCTACACCACATGCTCTTACTCAAAAGTCACCTTCACAACTTATGCTCAATCGTCAAATGCGTCTACCACTTGATAAACTAAAACCACCTACTACCAGCGTCGGTAATGCACAAACAGACATTCCAGCTATGAAGTCAGAAATAGAACAACGTCAAGCCAGAATCAAGTCCTACACAGATCAACGACAGCACGCTAGATCCACCAATCTGAATGTAGGAGACTGGGTGAGAGTTAAACGTCCAAATCGCAGCCACAAGCTCTCCCCTACATTTTCTGAGCCGCATCGCATTGTTAAGAAGCTTGGTAAGTCTTCGTTTAGACTTGACGACGGTACAGCATGGAGTGCCAGAAGATGTGTACGTTCGCATAGACATGATTCATCTGTACTCCCACCTGAACTCCCTAACGAACACTTAATGATAAACCAAGAACATCATCCAGTAGTTACAAATGCTAATAGCTTACCTACACGCGAAAGTCGTCCAGTACGAATAACACGTATGCCAGCATATTTGAGAGACTATGTACTTTCATAAGCATAAGAACTGTATCTATAGAACATTAGTTTGTTAATGCAGTTAAAAGGATTTCAACTGTTGCATGTTTGAGATTTTGGACTCTTATCGAACTTTAATATCCCATCCTCGTCGCCAAAATGTGGTGTCGGGCCCAATAAACACGCAGACAACAGGTTCGGTATACAAGCAAGGTTTACTTGTGTGTAATAACTAACGGAACTCACAAAGATGGGCAGCCCTGTCCCAGAATCCCATCTGTTGCTAAGCAACCCAACTGATGGCGGGAATATGGCCATGCAAAGTACGGTATATGTTTATACTATTAATGCTCAGACACAACATAATTCCCCCTCACGGAAAGGATGCATAATCGTAAGTATAAACATACAATGAATGAAAGAACGATATTAAAGTTCGATAAGAGTTCAAAATCTCAAACATGCAACAGTTTAAATCCTTTTAACTGCATTAACAAACTAATGTTCTATAGATACAGTTCTAATGCTTATGAAAGTACATAGTCTCTCAAATATGCTGGCATACGTGTTATTCGTACTGGACGACTTTCACATGTAGGTAAGCTATTAGCATTTGTAACTACTGGATGATGTTCTTGGTTTATCATTAAGTGTTCGTTAGGGAGTTCAGGTGGGAGTACAGATGAATCATGTCTATGCGAACGTACACATCTTCTGGCACTTCATGCTGTATCGTCGTCAAGTCTAAACGAAGACTTACCAAGCTTCTTAACAATGCGATGCAGCTCAGAAAATGTAGGGGAGAGCTTATGGCTGCGATTTGGACGTTTAACTCTCACCCAGTCTCCTACATTCAGATTGGTGGATCTAGCGTGCTGTCGTTGATCTGTGTAAGACTTGATTCTGGCTTGACGTTGTTCTATTTCTGACTTCATAGCTGGAATGTCTGTTTGTGCATTACCGACGCTGGTAGTAGGTGGTTTTAGTTTATCAAGTGGTAGACGCATTTGACGATTGAGCATAAGTTGTGAAGGTGACTTTTGAGTAAGAGCATGTGGTGTAGCTCTATAGTTCTGTAGTATTGTACGAACTGAATCTGTGAATGTCTTTCCCTCCGACAAGTTCGTTTTCAAACCCTCTTTCAGGCATTTATTGAATCGTTCCACCCCACCGTTACTTTGGGGGTTATATAATGATGTTAGATTATGTTTGATACCATGTGATTGTAGATAATTTTCAAACTCGTCTGAGGTAAACTGAGGTCCGTTGTCAGTAGTGATGACTTCTGGAAATCCCCATCGAGTGAAAAGTTCTTCAAGAATCTTAATAACTGCTGTAGATGTGACCGTTCCTGTTGTTGCCACTTCAGGCCATTTGGAATGTAGGTCGTGTACTACAACTAAGAAACGTTGACTATGTGGTGCTATGGCTATCTCACCAAATATGTCCATTTGTATAGAGTTCCATGGTTCTGTCGGCCATGGCGTTGGTTGAAGTGGTGGTTGTTTTGGTCTAGCTGACTTGCCACTGATAGCGCAAGGCTCACAATTGCGGATGTAATCTTCGATCTGAGAGTCCATACCTGGCCACCATACTGTTTCACGACATCGCTGTTTCATACGAACTATACCTGGATGTCCGTCATGGGCCATTTGTAGGACTCGTTCCTGCAGGGCTTCAGGAATAACTGCACGTGAACTACGGGCAATAGAGTATTCATTCCATACTGTAAGCTCATCGCGGAGGTTGGCGAATACTTTGAGATTTGGTGGCACACTTTTTGGCCAACCATTTTGAACATATGTGGCAACTCGTTGGAGCAGCGGATCATCACGAGACTGTATTTGGAGTTCGCTAGCTGTGACTAACCCATCTAAGTTAATTTCAAGAATGTCATTTTCAGTTTCTGTGTTGTCCGTAGTGCGTACAAGATGACTTAGCATATCTGCGACAAAGTTCTTACTACCTTGCATGTGCTCGATATCAAAGTTGTACTGCAAAAGACGATCAGTCCATCTATAGATACGTAGTGGTTTATGAGCGGAGCCTACTGTTGACAGAATTGATTTGAGCGCTTCATGGTCAGTGCGTAGTGTGTATTTCCTACTGTAGAGTACAATATGCCAATGTTCTGAAGCATACACACACGCTAAAGCTTTACATTCGCTTGTTGAGTATTTACGCTCGGTTGGAGACAATGTCCGAGAAGTGAATGCAACTGGCTTCTCTTCATCATTAACTATTTGCGACAAAACTGCTCCGATTGCATATCCCGAAACATCTGTAGTAAGATATGTTTTAGCATCAGGGTTGAAGTGTGCGAGAACCGATGGTGACAAAAATCTGGTTCTTGAGTTTGTCGAATGCGCACTGCTGATC